AATGTGAGGTTGACGTCATGACCTCACCTACTACCATCGCAGATTCTAGTTGTATGGTACGTACAGATCAATCTCCGTGACTTGGCGGGGGTGGACAGTTGTGCGGAGCGCTTGGAACACAGTAAAACACAACCGACCCACTCAAAGGACCAAAAACCTGGGGTAGAGTGTCGAGCAAAACATGATATAAGACATTGTTTCGAAGCTCAAATAGTTTCCCGGCACCGCCAAGCGTAGCACAGAATTGTCCTGCCCCTCAAGGGCTAATTGATGGCATAATCCTTAATAGATATTTCTTAGCTAAAGGTTAGGGCAATTGCTCAATTTCGATACGAAATTGAAAATGGAATCTTTAACCGGTTTTTTTGACATAATTTAGCTGGCACCTTGCGACCTTTCAGTTCCTTGGTCAGAAGGCCCCATACGAGGGGAATGCAGACTAGGGTTAGCCAGCTGAACCACTGAATGAAACTATAAATGGCCATCGTGATAGGATAGGGAGTAGCGGTCGAAACCGTTGGAAATGTTGTGTGGAATGGCAATGATCGGAGCCGAGGTTTCACAGAACTGGATGGATCGAAGGAGGGGGGGGGACCGGATGTGACAAGTATGATAATGATATGATACAAAGAGTGTAGAGTCAAACCTGATGAGGGTTGTGAGAGAGGGTAAGGGGGAAGGAGACGAAACGAATACACAAGCAAAAGCCCTCAACGCCCGCATCCTTTTGTGTGTAGTGGCAGACGTATGTTCAACAGAGATCGGCTAGTGTTCGAAAGTTGTCCCCTGAGGAAAGGCGTTTTCATGGTGCCTTACCTGGTGGCACGTCCCGGCACATGCATGGCAGCGTCGTGCTCGGAGTTGGTTATTGCGGGAGGAGAATTACTCTGCCCTGTTAACATGGGATGGTAATTTCAAGCCCAATTGGAGTAATCATGGTTTTTAACGCAAGTATGAATATATACAAGCATATGCGGGATGTCCGGCCAGTCTCTACCCTGCGCCCATGAGGGGTAAGCCCAACCGTCAATAGCTATCCGCTCTGACCACCGGAACATCTTCCAGAGAAAGTGGGATAAAAAGTGACCAGAATTGAGTCAGTGAAACTGCCATCAGGAAATCCTGCTTCTATGACTTGAATTCGTGAGCTAATTGAGGAACTTGTGCCCCAGTGCATTCATAAAACATCACTCGGGGAAGGCAGTAGGGCGAGGACTTCGCAGTCTACAGCCTTCCCAAACCTAATTTAAGAGTGCATTTGAGTTCTCCAATCCGGGCTGAGAAGCTGTCATGATAGAGTTGCCGTATCCAATGATTCTATAGGATACATTACCCTGGGACAGGATATTCTGTATCCTGGCGGTAAAGCTCAACTAGGATCGTATATTTAGCATGTGTCCTCTCCAATAAAATATCTTAAATTGCGAAACGGAGATCTGCAGATGTTGTGGATATGCCCCAACATAACATACCGCCTATAGACCAAGCCACCTAGGACCACACAACAATCCCATATCGACACCCTAAGGCTGTGTGACTAGGTTTTCCCGAGGTGATTCAGTTCTTTTCGGGGCCCAGTAGGTTGGTCCTATCAGACGAAACTTTCAGCGCGTTGTAACATATCAAGTCAGCGAAAATCATACAAGACCTCAGGATGTCGCCGAGAGAGGATAATAGGCAAAGAGAGACCGAAGGAGGGGTACAATACCAACTTTCGGTGACCTCCGGCCCCCCTGCCCATGTCTAGTAACCCTAAAAATTCAAGACATTCCCCCAGAAAGTACTTGCACCGTACCAGTATCCTGGAATGCCGGTACCTGTACTTCACCCGCTTCGTTCCGTCCCGGTTTCCAGTCGCCAAGAGAATAACAACGGCAAAAGCCTCCTCTTTCGCACAGGACCATGACTTTTATTGTTCCTTACTATTTTCGGGAAATTCCCCTCCATAGTGATGGTCTGGAGAAATTTTTCGGAGGAATAGCGGGCGGGGTTAGGAACTATTTTGTCCCCCTTCCTTGGTTCAAGCATTGGTCTCGTGTGATGATACATGTCAGCTGGTTGACAGCGCAGCGGAGCCAGGGTTACAGTATTATCAAAACCTGTTCTGTTCGTATTAGACTCCCGCAGTACTCGTACTGGTATGATACCTAGTTTGGGAAGTTTGGTACAGCATCGTACTCGTAGGGCGTGCGCGCGTGGCATGGTCCACCGGTTGCCGAGACAAAAAAAGCCACTGACTTTGGCAACCCCCATGATCCTCTGAAACACCCGAGAACCAAGATTCTTCAGTTCCATCCGCTCTCTTGAAAATGGGGAATTATTTCTCTATCGGGTACCGGGACCAGTTTGTTCGGATACAGATCTCATGGCTTCATCATACTCCGGCTCCAAAGCGATGGTTTCTACGGGGATTTTGACGTCAGATTGTTCCGCAGCTGAGCCTCAATCTTAGAGTCACGCTTAGTGAGAATATAGTGACACTCTTTTCGCAAGGAGTAGTCATTTTTCCAAGCGTACTAAGTATTGGTGGAAATCGCAGCGGTAGCGGTAGTGGCCTCGTCCCCATTGACGTGGTGGTGAATTTTGAGTGAGAGGAGGCTTGCAGTGGACATTTCGCACTTTTGTTAAGAGATCTTCATCGCGAGGCGCAACTAGGGGGCAACGGTAGCTAATGTTTTTCGGGGTCCCCCTGATTGAATGACTATGGAGCGCCCCATCAACAATTGAGCTCCGTAAATCATCGGGTTGGCGCCCTGGAGATAGGCTACCGCGGGATGTTTTAACAGAACACCTGATATTTCCGATAGGTTCAGTGGCAAAGTGTCTGATCTGGAGATCTGCTCCTCAGAGCGGTTGCACTGCAGCGGCCACGATCAATAAGCGAGTTATCATATTACGTATGGAGTAAGCGAGTCTCTTGGCAACAGTCATACAAGGCTACACTGCTCAAGTTCAAGTAAGGCAGACTCGCAAAAGTTCTTGAGTGGGAAAATTGCAGAAAGACACATTTGCGAATGGTAGGCTTGCCACGCCTACCTGATGTATCGCTACCGGTATGCTACCTACTTGTATCGAACTTATGTTTCAGGCACGAGCCCAGGGGGAGGGACAGGGCTGGTTAGGTGTTTCGGGTTTGCGTGGGGTGAGGGCCCCCCGCTTGCTTATTGGTACCCCATTTATTACCGCTCTTGATGAAGACAAGCAGAAGAATACCGACACTGAGGCGAATTGATATCGTTTTGTGGGGCTAGGAGCACTACTGCATAGGTTGCATGTTTCCTGGCTTTTGGGAGTGCGCGGTTTTGATCACGGGGAGTTGAGCCCCCGCAAAAGATCCTGACTTGCGTGCCCTATGACTAAACTTCAGCAAAGATCTCGAAGGCATCAGGCCCAACACCGGAAATATGTCTAATGGAAGCTAAAGCTTTCGGCAAGCGGGTTCAAGGCCCAGAACAGGTGCTGAGGGGTCGGGAAAATAGTACGTATGAGACCCATTGCAGTTTTATTTTATGATATTTCGCCACCAGAACTTCCTGGTTTAGTGTTAGGGTGTGGGTAAACTTTCTGAGGATTCTATCCACTTTTCCCACGCCCGAACTTCCCACTCGTTCAGTCGCCAATGCCTTATGGTAGTTTTCAGACGAGAGCTACATACCAAGGTGGTATGAATTTATGTACCACGAGCATTCCTACAGCATATTTGACAAGGAGTACCGCATGCAGTTGTGCCTGGCTCCCCGCCTCTTTACAAAAGCCATGAGGGTACCTTGGAACACGACCAAGAAGATCGCCCCTATATTACGGGGGGAATTTTTGTGTTCAATTTCCATCTTTCGCCGGGAAGAGGAGAATTCGGTAGATTCAGACGGAGTCCGGTCCCAACTTAATGCAATATGCTGATTCGGAGAAGCTGCAAGGCAACTCTCCCGCTGTCTGAACTGATGGAATATGTCGATTCGGGGAAGCTGCAAGGCAAACTCTCCCGCTGTGTCAACTGATGAAGAGCCAATTATACATAGATCCCAGCCACCCCGAGTACTGTAAAATCTGTTGAAATCCACCATCTCCGCTCTGACGAAGCGCCAGCTCGGGAGTGACCGGACATGGTGGATTTCAAGAGACTTTACGGTATGTGATGATTATATCGCGTTGGACGGGTCTGGATTGCATATTTCCTGCCTAGGGCTACTATGGTCCTTTCGAGCGCAAGGATGAGCGCTGGCCCCTCAAAACTAAACAAAGAATGCGGTGAGCATCGGTTTCTCGGTACGGCACAGATTCCGCGAGTGAGAAAAGGTGATGTTGTTGACGATGTGGTAATCAGGCCTTGCTACTACCGCTAGTGTGCCAATGCCACGCATCCAGTAGTCTAAAGGAGTTACAAGGGTTTTCGTGAAACGCCTCCCCAACATTGCTTAAGTTATGCGATGGGGATACTTTCGGAGAGTTCGCTATTTCTACCGGGGGGGGGGGGGGAGTACCCCCATCAAGCATGCATTTGCAACCACTTCCAACTCTGCTCGAGTAGCCTGAAGGTGCATTTGCTAATGACTCTCATTTGCTCACTCTGTGTCGGATCCAAATCCCGGAAACTTGCGCTATCCCCCAAGGCGAGGCGGGCCTCGCCTTAGCAGAGACTTTGGAATTACCACGAGGATTTGATTTCCAATGATGGCAGTAAGCTCTAGCGCTAAGCGTATGTCATTGTTTTTCTTTCGCTATTAATGCTATTGGCGGTGCGGCTTGTGTTCTACGGTTGTGTGCATTCTGCCCTTTGTACCTGCATTTCGGGCTCTCCCTAGTGGTCGGCTGTGCGTCCGCAGGGCTGCATGATGCTCATGTAGCAGTGAGCGGTCGGGCTGGGATGGAAGAGAGAAAAGTAGGGAAAGTGAATATCGCAAACGAATGAGCGGCTACATACCATGCGGCTTACACCCGCAACGAGAAAACGCTCAGCGATCGCGCGACCTGGCCAGGGATCCTGATTTTGAAGACCTCCGAGCTTTTCGCTAAGCAAGCTTTGCCGATGGTAAGTCTCAGATGAAGCTTCAATACAGCTACCGGTGACGATCTTCAGCAGTGCCTGGAATTTTGTAGGGGTTTTCGCTAGGATCCGGGGTCTAATATGAGCCAGGCTATGATAGGCGATTTGTGAACTTTAATGGTGTGAAGGCCGTGATTTTAGGCCTAGACCCTCGCGACATCATTCTCTAGTAATAGCGGCCATGTGCAGGGATGAGTGAATCTGACTGCGACAACAGGTAAGAGACCGGATTAAATCGCTCGGAAAAAAGCTGTTCCAGCCAGCTGCGGTATCCTCTTGAGTTTGCGATAGTTACTTACAGTAGACTGCAGTGCCCGCAAGCAACTAAGGACATGATACTTTTTCCATCCGGAACAGAAAGGCCCAACAGTTTTCAGAAATGTGGCCGCTTAGAATGTTAATTTCTGTCTGTAGGGGGGAGTTGTGCTTTAGTTGCACCGTTATAATACTAGTAGACACACCAAAGATGTACAGTACTGTACTGTACAGTACTTAGGGTGAGATTAAATTCCCATAAGCGGCAACTCGCGACAGTGAACTCCTACACCATAGCCATGTCTCCAAAGACTGTAAAAATAAGAAAAAAGAGGCTTCCCGGGGTTGGAGAGACCCAAATAAACTCATTAGACAGATCTCGCAGTTTTTCCGTTCATGTGGATTGTTGATGTCGGTGCATGTTTGGTAGCGGCATGTGGACATTTCCGCTCACCCCAAGTACCGTATCTCCTGGGCTCTGGAAAGAGGGAGGATTTTGTGCCACCCCCATGGGTCTCGAAGACATGGGTTAATAAGCACCATGGCTAAATTTAATATTAGCTATATGATTGTACCTACGCACATCATCACCGAGGAATACTGAGAGAGGTTAGCTTTAGTAACCTCTGTCTTAGATACTGACGGGGGTGGCTAAAATTTCCCACCGTTTCAATAGACCATGAAGTACCGTACAAGTAAACCTGAATGTTATAGCCTAAAACCGATTATTTTATGAAACTACGCTGGTTTGTTCTGTTGCTTGGGGAGAACGATGGGCTGGTAACCGGCCCGTGGCGCCGGCGATTGGGATCACCAAAGATCTGTGGCTCAGCCGCCAGAATGCCTTGGGCCCGACCGGATTCAGAAATTCGCCTCACCTAAACTTGCCAACCGCACTATACCATTCCGGTCCAAGACCTGATACCTACAAAGCTGAGTTCCACCCCCCCCCCACCGACCAACTCCACCCATGCGGAGAGACCGCTTCTGGCTTGGGAAACATGCTTCTCGAGTACTTTGGCGTTTCTCCTGGTACCTTGCAGAACAGATGAGAGATCGGTTTTTCTCCACGCGAGAAACAAGCATGGAGCAGTTTCCATTCCTGGTTCGCGGGTGCTTTCCAGCCCAATCTGACCCAGACCTCTGGCATTTCTTTTCCCACAGGGAGCTGAGACCACGCATAGCTGATCCTAAGAACAGCTGAGCGTTACCATACTCTAGCCAACCATTGGCGACTACCGGCACCATGGGAAACCCCCCATCGGCTTTCTTCCTTGCAACCTATGCATGCCCCACCACCCGATCACTTTCTACGCTTTGCACTTGCATGCCCGCTTCTTTGCGGGTACGGACTGGTGACATGGAGGCCACCAGGGCGCAACGTGACTGCATCCCACCTTTGCCCTCCTCCCCTCCCACTCCCCTCAGTCACCCTCGCATAGCTTCCCTACGTCCCTACTTTCCCTACACAACCAAAACTGGCCCGGGGAAAAACTTACCGATGACTGCTGTGTGGAGCCCGCGATGACTACATTGCGATTTTTTTTTTTTTGCGAGGTAGGCTGTGCGAGTTCTGGGACTTTGCACCTCAACTTGTTTGGGATCGAGCAGATGCATGTCCTGTCCAGATCATTCAGTGCACGTTCCACCTCCCAAGACCGATTTCCATAGTATGCCGAGCTCTGCAAGTGGCTTTTTGGTGTATATAATGCTCGTGGTTTCGCCGCCATTGTGCTCACCTCGTTCTTCGCCGCACACCAATCTACATTCGCTACATTCGAAAAGCATTTAACTTCTACTCCCTCAAATACATTCGATTCACTCATTCATCGTCCTTCTATACAGCTTCTACTACCACTTTTACTCTTTCTAATTCCCTTTCCTTCAGGAATCGCATACACCAGGCGATACTTGGAGCAGATATTCAATTGCAGTCGCTCACACTCAGTGATTCTTTACCTACCTCTACCTAATTTTTACCTTCTTTAAACTTCAAGCACTTTTTTTTAAAAAAAACACCCTTCAATATGTGCATGAGAGTTGTCGAACGCTATGCTGTGTGCAAGTGCGTCTACTACACCCATGGTATCGATCAGTGCTCCGCATATGGTCGCCGCGGCCACTCCGTTCAGGACAAGACCGTCCTTGTCGGTCATACCTGCCCCGATCATTCGGGCGCCAATTGGGCCACTGGCCCCGCTCCCAACTATGGAGGTTTCCCGGGAAGCAGCAGTACCGGCGGTTTTGGCGGTTCGGGAGAATCCGGCCGCTACAACGTTCACTGGCGGTAAACCCGCATTCAATTCGACAAGTTATCCGGCGGTCCGGCTGGGAAGGATCTCCTCAACTGAATTTTCTTGAATTGGCATTTGGGGATACGGAAGGTGGAGGGGGTGGGATGGTAGAGGAATGGGCTGGGGGAGGGTAATGGAAGTGAACGGAGAACATGAGCACCATACCGGTATAAAGAGAGGAGAGAACGCGGGGGGACATTGACGAGCCGAAGATCCGAATTCCGACATGGTTTTTTTATTTTTCACGCATCAGTCGAAATCCGTGGAAATATCTTATTGCGGTTTCGATTTGTTCGAGCGGTTTACGATTCACGCGGGACGCGGAAAACTTGTTTCTTCATAGCGTGGGAATGTTTTACGCAAACGTTTACGAGGCATTTTTCGATACACGATTGAATGGGAAATGACATGGGTTTCTTGGTTTTCCTTGTTATCATTTTATTTTTATTTTTATTTTCACCCTCTAATGGATACTAGTAGGGCAAAAATTGGAGCTGTCGGAGTCTTTGGTTGGGGAGTTTTTCTTCTTTCATTCTTTCTGGTTGATCGCTACTTTGCATCTCTCCTTTGTCTTCTTTTCATAACTTTGTTATACCACAGGACTTTTTTTTTATTTTTTTTTTATTTTTTTCACTTTAAGGTGTTAGTGCGTTAGTCAGGGATTATTTTATTTATGCCTACCTCACGGTTCGGGGGGGGGTCTCATTTTTATTTGTGGAAACCGAGTGAACTGCCTCCTCCCAAGCATTCTTTTTGCGGAAAAAAAGGGCTGTGATTATCTATCATATTATTATTATCCCGAACCGTAGCCGTCACGGGCAGAGGAACGGGTGTGGGGGTGAGGGGCCTTCAACAGTACAAAACCCGGGTCACCAGCTCTTTGTTTTTTCTAGAGGGGGAGAGAGTGGGGGTGTGAAAGGATACCGGTACCGGTGCCGGTACATACTTGTATTATCCTATGACCTCAAGGCTTATGAGGCATCATCATCACAAAGAAATCTAATGTCTCGGATAACCGGTAAATTTTTTTTGTCCCCATCTGAAACCTGGTGGGGGGGGGGGGGCTGCCTATGATGCCTACCTATGATAACCAAGTTCCGGAAGGCCACGACAGCACAATAGCTGTACCTGTACTGTACTCGTACCGGTACTGTACTGTGCCATATGTCTTGGGAGAGGCCGATTAGTGGAGAGAAAAAGAAAGGAAAAAGAGGCGAAACGCTTATTAGCATTAGCCCGTCGCTAAATCTATCTCAAGTTCTCAACTCGTACGAGTACTGTACACGTTCTATTATGGTACTTGTATGATATTATGATAATGACAGTCAGGAAAGGAAGCGATAGGGTTCTGACAGTTGTATGATAGAATATAATACCGGTAAAGTTGCAAAGTTCTCAAAGTATCCTCTCTCTCTCTCTGCGTGTGTGTGTCGTCTCTCTCGGGATATAAAATTCTGAGACAGAAGGTACAGTACGCTAAGGCAATTACATAAATTATCATAACTAGGCAACCAGTCAACGTACCGAGTGAGTGAGTGAGTGAGTGAGTGGCAGGGCACTCACCAACTCGAAAGAGAAAAAAAGAAAAAAAACCATTACAAAGTATGATAAGTGAGATCTTTTCCTCTTGAAATGTTGAGTTATCATTCTTCCAAGAATATCGTACAGTTATGCGAGAGTTTGATTGGGGGGGGGGGGGGCAAGTCGTCAACCATCACAAGTTATCATATTATCATACCTGTACGACTTGCGAATACTGTACCTATCGTCGAGGTGAGCGGCGGTGGATAGCGTGCGTGCGTACGTATGTAAACGGTAGATCTCGCTGTCAAGGGCTGGAAAGGAGGTTAGTTTTTGTCTTTTGATCCTGTGTAACTTGACCGTTTTCTTCCTCTCTCTTTCAAGTATTCTGTTTTTTGGTCTCGTGGGGTTTGGATAGGTTGGTTTCCGTAATACTTGTACATTTGGATGGATGGATAGTGCACAGTGGAATATGAGTGGCGAATTCACCCACTGCCTCCTACCCTAGAAAAGATTTCGGTATGATGTACTGTACTGTACTGTACTACTTGGATAGATGGACCATCCTCGATACGGTACGATACGTACGGTACCGTCGTACCCCGTCGGCGAGGAGAGAATGGGTGATTAACGCGCGGTGGCTGTGGGGAGTACCGGTACCGGTAGGTAGCAAAAGGAAGTCTGCGATGGGCGGGATTGTGATTTGTATTGTAGGATACGGTAGGCAGCAAAAAAAAAAAACGAAAAAGCAATAACATAATATGATTTTTTATACAGTGAGGTTGCCGGTTTTTTCTTTTCTTCTCATCCACATCTTTTAATAACTCCCCTTTGCCCCTGTCGATCAGTTTGATGTGGGGGGGGAGGGGTGTGATCTCTCGTTTGTTACTGGAGCGGAGTAATAATTTTCCGTGATTATCCTTGCAAAAAACGGCGAAATACCGTACGATAACTTGTCTCTTTCCTTCGGGGGAACCGCGGGCCGCAGCAACGGAGTAGTAGTAGCGCATAATCCTGGGGGGATAAAAATAAACGGCCGATACCGGCCTTTTTGTAATGTAATGACCACTCATTCAACACCCTTCAACTCCCTTTTCTCTCTCTTTCTCCGCAAAAAAAAAAAAAAAAAACCTACGATAATCGGTTTGTTCTACGGTTGCTTATGATATGGTGTACAGTTGGTGGTGGAGATCCAAAGCCTAGGAAGGGGTGGGGAACTGATCACACATCGCGAGGGTATCAGCTCGCTATGTATGATATGATAACCGGTAGCCTTATTCCTCCGCACTTGGTCCTTTCTTCCTCGCACAACGGGCTGTTTTTTCTCTGGGTGCCCAGATCCTTGAGATATCAAAAGTGGCGCTTTTTGCCCCAAGATATGGCACGGCGTCTTCATCGCTACTTCTTCCTGACCAGAATACCAAGTTGGTATTACAGTCCGCAATTCAAGGACTTCGCACATTGGGATTGTCGTGGGACTTTTGTTTGTGTGCAAGTTCACGTGATTAATGGCGGAGCGCAAGGGTATTTATACAGACATCAATTGGTAAGCGGGGGTCGGAGCCTACAACTGCACCTTTAATTTAGCGAGACGGCACTGAGCCGGGTGGGGGAGGGGGAATTGTGGCGGGCCAGGTGCCGCCGAGTTACCGGGGGATTGGGCTCATTGGAATGCGAAACCTAGAATAAGAAAAGGGACCCCTACTAGAATTGTCAGACTGGGCTGGGGGAGCTACTGATGTTATGCTGTAAGCAAAAGGTCTGAATCTAATATTAATGCCCGCACGACCGACTGGCTGCAGTGCGTTATGCCACTTTTCTCCGCCAATGCCTAGTGAGGGAGGACATGGAATGTACAGTACTAAGGCTTCCTGCTTGAAACAAGTGTTACTTGTCCTGGGCAGTGAGTACCGGGAAGTAGGGATTCGCAGAATTTCTGGCTAAAAAATCCCTGGGTACCGTACCTGAGCGCCCATAGAAATTCATGACCCCTGCCCCCCGGGTACCCATTGGCAGAGACAAGTGCTTGGGCTATTTGTCAACCAGATCGGCGTGCGAGCCCCCGGCAGCACCGCGGCTCCACCACCCAGCCGGAAATAGCGCAGGGAAGCGTTGCTGAGTTGATTCTACCCCACGCATCCGAGTGAGCCACGGTGCCTTGGGCGGAGTAGTGAGTCAAGCCCGTCCGTAAAGTTGGAGGAGTGGCATATTTGACACCGGAATTCAATATTCCTATCCTATTTCTTTATTATTAGAATCGCTGTTTTAGCTCTTGAGAAGCACTTCACTACCTAGAACTTTGGTTGGGTGGGGAATTAATTTCATTTAAACCGGGTCTTTGGGTAGTTGCCCTTGTTTTCTGCTCTGCTGTAAAGCAATGCCCTGATTTGGTTTTGCCGACGGGGGGGTAAGCCCCCTGCCATGATTCTCACTGCCTTGTGCCCCGGGGCCGAAGGCTGGGACCCGCACTCGGGATCGAGGGGTGGACAGAATCCACCATATGCGACAAAGATATAGGGGTAGGGGTCGCTACTGCCCTAGTACAGCCAGGGGATGTCCCCAGACCAAGTTACTGTAATTATGATACCGGTATATGATAGGAAGATGGCGGCCCCACACCGGGGAAGCCCAGGTTTGAAGGAAATAGGGATAACTATTCCGCTCATATTCCTCTTTCCGGTTTTACTGAAGCCCTTAAAGCCGGTGATTTGTATGAGCAAGGGAGAAACGGGGCTTGGAGAAGAAGTACTGGTACCGTACTAGTTACTACGTAAGCGCAGCATACCACTTGTTCGCTTTTGACGAGCTCCGGCCCGTACGGGCCTTGCCCGGTTCCGACGGCCCCAGGTCCGAAGCGCCATTCCCCTCGTTACACACACAAGCACTGTACTCCAAAGTGGGCAAGGTGGCTGTAGGCAGGACGCGTAAAAAAAACCGCGGAGCTTTTTCGAGGACCACAACGCTTCTGATTGGGAGACTTACACGCCAAATAAGGAGATAAAAAATTTGCTAGGCAATGTATAGTACTCGCAGCTGAAGTATCATACAACGTACGCGTTTTCCCAAACCTTTGCATCCGATGAAATCCAGCGTGGAAGAAGAGATCTGGATTGTGGAACGTCGGTTGCGATGGATCCTTCTCGTGGAGAAAAAACGGCTGTTTTAGGAAGCAAGTTGCCTTGAAATTCGTGGCATCTGATGCTCAGTTACACTGCAGGAGTTGGGGCACGGGAACCTCGGCTTCTTTGTGGTCTGTGTGGGAATAAATTTTCTGATTTTTTTCTGTGGGCCCCCAGAAGGGATGGCTGAGCAGTTGTGTGTGGCTTGAGAATTCCTGGTCTTAGGTATCATAGTTGCTGGTCCCCGGGGAAAGAGAGAATGAGCCCTGATTGTCTACTGCCTGCACGGGAGTGCGCTCAATATCCTCGAGCCCAGAAAGGGTAGAAACCCAAAAAAAGACAAAAAAAACTAGAGAAAGCCGAGGCTCGCATCGCGTTAGAAAGCTTAGAAAGAAAGAAAGAAAGGAGGCGAGAGGAGGGGGAGGGATGCCAAGTGATGGGAAAGGGGGAAATATCATACCATAGTTGAATAGGGTACGGTTTTGAGGTCACGAGCTGGAGGGAGAGGAGGTGAGGACCGAAAAGGCAGTGAAGACCAGTAGTGGGGGAAACCAATTGTGAAATGAGACCGGTAGTAGGGAAACTAGTGGTGGAGCAAGAATAGACGGTACGGCAGATAAACACTAAACCAATTCATACTGGACGAGCATAGCGAGTGATTACTTGTGACGACTATAGTAAGGCAGCGAGGGAGGAGTGTCCGGGTGTGTTGGATGATGGCCTTTAGAGTATGGTATAGCTCCGGGAGTCGGCACACAACACCTTGATATACTATAAAACAGGGGACGCCTCGGCATAAATTTCCTTTAAAAAATAATAATAATATTATGAATTGGATTGAGCTTGAATTAGTTGCGACTTTTTAGAGCTACATTTTAGGCCAAGACGTGTCCTGTTGCATCGGCCGAGGTTGTTGTGTAATACAGATAGACGGCAGGAACCTTAGTATGATATAATACCGGTATGACCGCTGTAGGCTGGCAGCAAGTGCCGCTGGAGCATAAGTCATAGCAGGTCTGCCTATTATACTCTTGGTGCATGCTCTAAGACTCTTGTTTGCACGTTTTCGAGTTTTCTCGCCAAGGAGGCTTATGATACCCTTCTGGAGGATTGGTCTAGGCGCAGAGCTCAAGTGGAAAGAGCCCTCAGGCTAGTTTCTGGTTTTTGAGTGTTTGGCCACCAAATTTGAGCA